AATCTTAACGGTGGCTACATCACATCATGTGTAAGTTCGTTTGTCATTTCAGTTTTATAAAAAGTAAATGTAGTTACCGAATATGAATCTCATATTTCTGCATCTGTATTTTTATACTACCTGTAGAAAACACGAGTACGAAATATTAATTTCTGCACATACGGAAGGAGTTTAATGTCATACATTATTCGAACTTCGAATAATGTATCGAATTTCGAAGACCTCTAAGCCGTGATTCCTGGGTTCGAACCCCGGACGGAGGTGATATTTTTGTACAAAAATACTATTTTTATCCTTTACTTCAATTAAAAAAGTAAAATTACTGTTCATATACTACGTAGTTGGGTACAGGCCTCTAGTCATTTTTGAATCGCAAAACAAATGACATAACTGTGCATTTTTGTCTAGTTAGAAACGGGTTCTTTGTTAGTTGTAGTTGCACCTGGTCAGCGGGAGAGGGCGCTGCGTTTCATTCACTCGTCATTCGTTTAAGTACAAAACAAATAATATATATAGCAAATATTATTTGCTTGGTAATAAAAAGGGATTAAGAGTACATATATAAAAATATTACCAGGTATATAAGGTAGTTTTTTGTTTTTTAACTATTATCAGCAGAGCTAGCATGGGCAGGAGACAATTTTATCCCCGGGTAAAGGAGAAAATGTTTATCCCCTCGCTTAGTTTTATCCACCCTTCGAGTATGGGCACAACGGTGGATATAATATCCACAGTAGATAAAATGGGAGATAGACTTAGATAGATTTTTTGTATGAATATAAACTTAAACTCACGTCTAATGAACTAGGATAAAATTGTCCCTTTCAAATGTCAAAAAAGCATATTTTTTTATTTTAAATTTGGCTCCATGCTACGAACGGGGATTATGTCGTTATGTCAAACGGGGATATACTTCTCCTCGTTGCCATGCTTTGGCATAAGGACAAGATAATTTTGTCTCTTGTCAGTGGATATAATCGGGGGATAAACTTTTTGTCCCCAGTCCATGCTAGCCGTGCAGGCAGTGCTTGACTACAATCCCACACAATGGTAAGTGGTGCTGCAGCCGGTGATGGCAAGCGCACTGACTTAGCTTAACAAAGGCCTATTGACTATGGCCTTGGAAACACCAACATTATGATCGGATGGAGAGATAGATGGTGGCAAATTAATTCACTTCTATGCTGTGCGCATTATGAAGCCGTTTAGTTCGAATACGTGGTATCCCGACAACAAAGGGATGGAGACCTTCCAAGCGTCTGTAAAATTACTCTTAACAATAACGTCAACTTAGGCAGGGGCTACTTGTTAGGGGTGTACGATTCTCGTACATAAAACAGAACGATGTTTTTTGTTACGTAGCAACATTCGTATTTCTGTAACCTACTTCCTTCCTTTTTTGTATCACTTAACTGCTATGGAGGGACTAGAGTGTGCTAACTTGTAACCGCAACTATTGTGCGGCATTAGTAATTGAACAGTGTGCAATAGGTTTAAATTCATTAAAGGACTATATATTATTTTTATAAAATATTTTAGTAAAGTAAAGTCATAAAAAGTACAGTCTATTAAATTGACTTGTTGGTGTGTCACTTAAAGTAGGCACCTAACAATGAGTGATTCACGATAGTAGTCAATGGCTTCGAACCCACGATTATTCAGTTTGCAGTCTGCATTTACACCGCGGGTCTCCGGTTCTCTACACTCATCATACGAATCAATGCAATATTAAGCTGCTATTTTACGCTGGTATTCTGTGAGAGCGTGGTCCTTACCCGGTCGAATTGACCCCTTTGTGCTACAACTATACCACTAATATATCTGCAGCATGGCTCTACCACGTAAAAGTGTTATACCACCATTTATCGGAATCCAAGTCTTTCTGGACTTCCTCATGATCTCTTACGACACCCACGGGACCAGGTTGATGGATTCTCTTACCATAATATAACTAATTTGTGTACAGTTCAAAAACAAACACAGCACATATAATTATGAAAGGATATTTTCTGCCGACTTCCAAAAAGTAGACGGTACTCAATTCGACTGTATGTTTTTGTGTGTTACCTCATAACTATTTTTTGGGTGAACCGATTTCTATGATTCTTTTTTATTTAAAAGCTGGTGCTTCACATGTGGTCCCATATAAATTTGATCACGGTCTGACCAACAGTTTTTGAGTTATTCTTAATAATTTATATTGAAATCGGTTGTACAAAATTTTTAATTTTAAATTATATTTTAGTATAATACTTTACTATATCAAAATTTCACAGTCTAACATTTGTTTGAGGCATTGGTGCTCACCCCAGGAGTTGGTATACCAACACAAAATTCTAGAACAATCACCAGCAAAAGCGGGCATTATGACAATCGAGAGAACATTTCCAGAAACGCTAATTAGTGTTTCATACAAGTCCCTGTTAAAACTATTCTCAAAGTTTCAACGGTATAATCGTTATGACACTTTAATCACAAAAGAGTTCCAAAACAAAGCCATCACAACCCTATTAATGGACCGTTCGTGCTATATTCGATATCAGGAATTTTTATAGTGCACTTTAATTTAAGTATTTGTTATTTACTCGAGTCGATGTGTTCGTTCGCTGCTTGCAAGTTAAAAATAAAATAAAATGTCAAATGTCCAAATATTTAAACGCTGTTCAATTTTAGGATGCCGTTAAGTCTCGTGCTGTCTCTATCACTTTAAGTCAAAGTGACTGTGACGTTTGATTATTTGGCCAAAAGATTTATGCAATGGCGCTCACGACTTGGTTAATTAAAGTATTTTCTTCTCAGATCGATAAAATAACAATAATTTGTAACCAATTTTTAATGCCAGTTTTGTTTTTAACATTTAAAAAATAAAATCTATCAAAATAAAATAGTCTTGAGATGTCTTGAGTGTTGTTTTTAATTGAGGCTTAGACTTATATGGAAGCCGTCTGCAGCTATGACGAAAAATAGGTTCCAGTTCCAGAGGGTAAACCGAATAAAACTCGTGCATATTGTGGCTTACTTTACTGCTGGACGTAACTGACATAAGTATAACTTTATCATAAATTTTATCTTTTTTTATAGAGTCATTTTTTTATAATTAACTAGTCCGCTATGTGTGCGGGCAGTTTTTCAACAAAATGTCGGACCTACGTCGTCTCGTGATTTTTTTTTAATCAGTTATTTATTAGATTTTTTTTTAATTTAGGTTGACTAAAAGTAGTAATGTACTAGTTATCGCTATAAATCGTAAAGGCCATTGAAAAGTGATAAAAATCTCTGTAAATTCACTATGAGTGTTAAAAGGATGTCCTTTTAACCGTTATCGTATTTGCATTGTAGTAGCTATTTGGAAGCTTATATTGCCTAAATTAAATACAGAACGGTGAGGCATGTAGGAGCAATAATACATTATTGTTTTATAGTTGTGTTATTAGCAGAACTGTAACAATATTATACGCATTTGGAAATGACAATAACACAAATTCGCTTCAAAACAGCATCATGTAAATCTTTATTAGCTTAAAATAACTCTGTAGGTACTTATAGTAGCACAGTCAGCTACAGTTCTGTGTTTTTTTTGTTATTTTTTATAGGATAAGGGTGACAATGAGAAACAAGCATACAGTCCAACTGATGGTAAGTGGTTGCTGTGACCCATAGACATTTATATCTATAATGTAACCTCGATTACGAATCAAAATGCAAATGCCTTGTCACCCGTGAGGACTAAGATGGAATGCTTCGTTTCCAGTAAAAAGGGCCTCCGGTTCTCTACACTCGCCATACGAAACACGCTCCTATTTTACGCTGGCATTCTGTGAGGTTAAAGGAGTGATATAATATGGTATTGATATCAACGTTTACATCACTTATTTTGTATTTGTCACGAAAATGCAGTATAGAACTATACAGCTTTTTAGCACGACTGTGTATTATTATAGCGACTTATAAAGTTTTATAATACACATTGTCGTGACGGACTTTTTAGTTACGCTTTATTACTTATAACTCTTTGGTTGTTTTGATAAAGATATTTATATATATATATATATATATATATATATATATATATATATATATATATATATCTGAATCTGAAAGAAGCGAAAGAGGTTTGTAAGGATCGTGACACTTGGCGATCTGTTCTCTCTGGCTACCCCGTCAGGGATTGTGCGTGAAGATAAGTTATATATATATATATATATATATATATATATATATATATACCTATATATATATATATATATGTTTGGTGATACAGTGGATTCCCAAACGTACTACGTTACTGCTTGGGTAATTTCACACAAAACACTTTAAAATAAATGAATAAGTAATCTCAGCCCAGTAATTAATTTTATTTTATGACAGTACATACGACTTAGGTTTTATTGGTCATCGCTTTTCAGGGGCTGCCACCCTGCCGAAATACATCTATTTAACCTTTTATAATATACAGAAATATATATAGGCGGACACAGTCACTGGCATTCTCTGCCAGTATATTTAAGTACAGAGATAAAAAGAGGAAGGTTTAAAAAGTAATAAATAATGATACACCCGACATTCTCTGTTTTTCTTCTCCTTCATCCGCCTGCCAAATCCTTCTTCATTTGTGATCATCATAACGATCGGTATACCAGTCTGTTTCCAGACATCGTCCGGGTATTTTACATCCCTGTTGTTATAATGCCATTTATCAAAAGCCATAACATCTCGTTGGGATTTTCCATAGACGTGACACTTACCACACCCACGGAATGAAGCGGAGTGACGGATTTCCTTACTCCACAATCACAGGCCTATATATTTGTGTGTATGCTCTTAGTAACTGATGATTTCGCAACGACCCTGTTCTTATTTGTAATTTAAATTAAGAATATGTCGTACTAAGCACAGATAACAAAACATTACTTCTTCGTGCAAACATCTCAACGAAGTGAATAGAATATTATGTTCACAAACATTAGTTCAACACAATAAGCTCTTAAATGTTCCCGTTTTCAATCGTATTTCGGTTCTCTCTTCACACTCAGTTCATTTTGTGTAATAGCTTCCGTTAGCCAATCATTAATTTTGCCGCGTAAATGTAACTTTTGTACTTCTGTCAATTTTTTCATATACGGCAGAATGCTTTTGAAGAACAAGTAATCCTCGTCTTTATTCAAACTGTTCGTATCATCACTCTCGAAACGTTTCTCCATTATTGACAGCTTTCTCCTTTTTATCTCCAACAGCTCCTGACTGATGTTTGAACGTCTTCTTGAAGAGTCTTGTGACGACGTAGAGCCCACAGGTGAATGCTGAGGTAGAGGGTACGGCACAGATTCAATCATTTCGGTGTCCAAATCATTGAGATAGCTATGCGTGTCCGTGCTTTCGCTATCCTGTGTGTTGCTTGCTTGACTGACATTTAAATTGCCAGTTGCATGCATTAGTTCATCCTTAACAAATGACATCATATTGAAATATTGCCACGTAGATCCCCAATCATCAGATTCAATTCCGGATATATGACCAGGATATTTCTTAAGCTCTTTCCTATATTGATCTTTCAAATGTTTCCAACGTTTTCTTAATATCTCCTCTGTAAAGACAAATAAACACTATTAATAACAAACATAAAGAAATGGAAAGAGGAGATTGGCAGTAACAACTTTCTCATAATAAATGAATAACAATAAAAAAACTGAGATTGTTAAACCGCCCTGTTAAGACTGGCAACTAAAGCAAAGGGAGTATTTGCTACAGTTACACCCCTAGCGTACGGTTAGCGCTCGCTGTAAATTTCATAGTACGCGCGTAACCCGGGTTCGATCCCCGCCGGCACCAATGAAATTGTTAATTGTAATTTTAGGTGCTGGTTGACCACGTGCTCGGCGGTGAAGGAACACATCGCGAGGAAGCATGCATGTATGATGTCATTGCGAAGATATGTGAAGATCGCCAACAGGCATTGGGACAGCGCGGCGGACAATTCCTTGCCCTAAAACCTTCTGAGAGGAGGCCTATACTGTAACTTTACTTTTCTTATAGGATAAGGGTGACAAACGAGCACACAGTCCACCTAATGATAAATTGTACATCGATATCTATCCTCAATTACGAATGAAAATGCAAATGCGTTGTCACCTGTGAGGACTAAGATGGACTGCCTCGTTTCCAGTAAAAAGGGTCTCCGGTTCTCTACACTCACAGCAGCGTTAAGCTGCTATTTTACGTTGGCGTTATGTGAGAGCGTCGTCCTTCCCCGATCGAACCGACCCATTCGTGCTACAACTATACTACTAATATAGCTGCGGCATGGCTCTACCACGTAAAACTATTTTACTTTACACCCTTTCGATACACCTGTGGTGTAGGTTTATGTTCAGTAATGGAATTTTATTGAATGGAATTTTTAATAATTGAATTACAAATCTATAGTAGATGTGCAATACCCATGTCTATGCGCTTAGAGTAAAGTTATTACGCTCTACTACTGATCTGTTGGGATCTGTTGATATAATGCCTCATCGGACATGCAAGTTCCTTGCGATATTTTCCATCGCCATGCACGTGGTAAATCAACAATTTATAAGTTGCAATTAATAATTTCACTGGTGCCGGCGGGAATGGAACCCGGGTGATTAATGTGAGGTAGTAATTTTTGTCTCATCGAAATTATTTAACTCTTGAATAAAGTAAAATTATTTTTAAAATCTTAAGTTAAGATATAAAGAAAAATATATTAAATTATAGCAAGCCTTATTAATTATTATTATTATCGGTATCTAAATGAAGAAAACTAGGTCGGATAAGCAGCTGACACGGGCGGAAGTCTGATACCACTCCGATAAAAATGATCTCATCGTGTAAAGCCGCGTCTCCACCAAAAATGTTGACAACATTTATGTTTCCAACTGTTGACAAATCAACAAAAGTTGACAACATTTGTTTCCGGAAATGTTTCAAAATGTTCCAAGAAGCGTCTCTACCGAGGGAACAAATGTTTGCAACAAGCTTATTCCTTTGATGTTGCCGCCGAAAATGGAAACACGATTCCCGACATTGTTTCGTTTTGTCTATTAAGTAATCTGTGTGTTTGTTGCTAAAACTAGGTGATTACAGAAACATTTGTTGGCAAGACCTGATGGCAAATGTTGTGTTGACAACAAAACTTTGGTGGAGACGCGCCATAATACATTATTTATTTGTATCATTTCACATATTCTCATATTTAATAAAACATACATATACATATAAGCAAGCGAGGGAGCAGTGAGGTTTCTGATTGACCTGATTTTTAATATGGAAATTCTAAAGGACCAACCCCTTTGAAAATAGATGAAGTATTTTTTTTATATCATATGACCAAAGACTAACAAACAGGACCGCGCTATAAGGCGTTACTTGGGGGAGGCCTATTCATCAAGTGGTGGGCTGTAATGCTGATGATGTGAAGACATTTTAATAATTTCTACAGTTTTGTCCTATTCTGACAGTTTTATCATAAAGTAACCAGACTATACCCAATACTAACTGAATCACAAAATATCTAGAATATGTCAAGATTAGATATAAATACAATAATAATACGACAAATGCTTAGTCTACGCTGAGCAAATAACTTGTAATTCATGATCATGATTCATGAGTCACATCGGGAGCTGCTGGCGTGCGTTGTCGCCATTGTCGCCGTGCCGTCGTTGCCCAGTGGAGAAAGGTGTATAATTTCGTATAAATTTGCCTCAATTTTTGTTGTGTCGGTGCCGTTACCGTTTCCAGACTGGCCAATTTAAAAAACGTCCATTGTATAAATTTAATACAAATCTTAAAGCAATATTTTCTTATTTCCATTATAGTACATTAAGAATCACTATATTACTAATAATAATATTTAAAATATGTACTCTAAAAAAAAAAGAAAATTACTATAAGTAAAGTAAATATAAAAGTGTGCTGGTTTCGATTCAGCTTTATTTTTTTTTACTTGTTATTAGTAACTGGCGAACTTTTGATTCCGATTGTAAAATAATTTAATTTGATGTTTATATTATTTCAATCCCCTTTTACATATCATACTGCCGGTGAATATAGGTATTCATCCAATCAAAGACAATTCCAATATGGCGCTTATGTTTACATGGTCCACCAGTGCTATTGACATGAAATCATAGATAAATAAATATGTAGCAAGCTACATGAAATCATAAGAGATGTCTACGAAAAACGGTAATGTCACTGACCAACTCACGTACTTAATTTACGCTCTTTTATTAAAGAGATCACCCATAGACACAGTAGCATCTTATAATAGCGTAAACTATAATAGATGATACACGAACAAGTCTATGGCGTAAAGTCGCAAACAAATGAAAAATAACTGGTTTGTCTCTGGCCGACGGAAAGATATGATGCAAATTCCCCGAACACTGAACAAAATAAATAATAAACTTATTTTGTAACCTATTTAAGTATAATGTATTAATGATTTACCTTTAACTTTGAGTTTTGCTGATAACTCCCTCCATACTTTTGCTTTGACAACTCTATTCTTGTAAAGCCTATGAGAAGAACACCACATTTCCGGTTTCGCTTGTATTTCTGATATTATTTCTTCAAACGACATGATGCACGCTATAACAGAACGCTGACGAATTCAAACTGGTTTGAACTCGCTCGACACGCGACGCTAAACGCAAGCAGGCACGCTCTCCCCACCGCACCGCTGTAATTGATCGCCACACAGTACGCTTGCCTGTGTGCATGAACACGTGATTGGGGCGAACGCCGCACGCCCCGCCCCGCCCCGCCACGCTCACTACCGCAAGCGCCCAGTAGGGTCACCGTATCTATAAGTAGCAAAATCAGGAGAAAAGTATAACGTTTTCTTTTAAACTAACTCAATAACCGTAAAGGTCAAAAGAAGAAAAATTACTCTTATAATGGGTCTTTTTAGCGATAACTTACCTGATGATAGGTTTGCGGTGGTCGTATGATGAGCCTGATTCTAGTATATTGACAAATTATAAATATCCGAAAGTAAACATTAATGACAAGTTCCAGTCATTTGCATTTGTGACTTCAATGATAATGATGAAATATTTTATTGTCTTATAGTCTCTACAGACCACTTTTTAAAAGCGGCTTTTTTATTCTTTAAGTTTTTGTATTAAAGACTACTTTAAATCCGGGAGATTTTACTGTGTTTCATTAGTCAATAGATTTTCAAATCTCTTATAAATGAACGATACCGAAATTCTAGTAGAGTTGGCCACTCTAACGCTCGGGCGTCTATAAATCTCCTTCTTTACTACTCGAGTGCTTTTAAATAAATTTGTTTTTAATAATATTTGTTTTGCTGCCACATAACGGTCCGTCCACTCATACCTCACGACGATACGTCTTTTGTAACCATTCGTTAAAGACTAATGGATATTCTCTTGGGCGCGTTCCCACGACACGCACTCGCTACGCGCACGCCACGCGCGTCAGCACCCGCGTCTAACTTGCTTTGAAATTTGTTGCATATAATTTAAGTCTTATGACAAATGAATAAATCTGAAATTGCATTTATCGACGTTCAACCGCACACGCCTCGCCCACGACACGCTCCCGCCACACGCCCGCCACGTTCCCGCTCGGCGCTGATCCCGCGCTCATCCCGCATACGCGCTTTTTATACAATTTCAGATTTATTGATTTGTCATAAGAGTCAAATTATATGCAACAAATTTCAAGCGAGTTAAACGCGGGTGCTGACGCGCGTGGCGTGCGCGTAGCGGGACCGTGTCGTGGGAACGCGCCCTAACGGGTACAAGATTCGTAAGCGTGTTTAGTTAAACCATAGAATAAATAATAGTTTGGAAACCCAAGTTTTGTTGCCCTATCTCTGAGGCGAGTGTGCATAGTTCAAATCCCAGGCCAAGCTATGAAATCGTGCGAAAACACAATTTTATTTTATTTTAGTACCTATATGTACGTCTCATCGAATGGAAGCAACCTTTGCACGAATTGTTAAATATTTAGGTAGTCCCGTCCTTACACTACGTTACAGATGTCTTATCCGATGTGCACCATTTCAATCATGATTAAGATATTAACGATTGCTTATTACAGCGCCATCTATGGTAACACCACTGAACGTTTACTAATAAAGTGAATGTTTATATTTAGTATAATATAATACTAAAATACTATTTTACTAATAATCATATTAAATCAATTTTATTTATGCATTATGATATCGTGTTTAATGAATGGATTAAATCAATGACAATGAAAATGATTGGCAAGTTACGTAATATTCCTTCCGAAGGTAGGTAAGTATATTTCATTTATTTATTTTCTAATACACTATTTATAACTTTTTTTGAGAATAATGATACATGGAACATATTAAAGTGACATCAATATTAAAGTATGATAGCTTTTATAGGAATCATCATCATCATCATTATCTGCCGCCCAAGTCAAGTCACTTTACATAAACAGGTCATATTTGACATCGTTTCCGAACACTAGGAGTTTTAGCATGGGCCTCTCCTGAAGGTTCACCAGTAAATTTTCTAATTCTATTGCACATCTCTCTATTCAATCGTGATACGTCTTTGCGAATTTTTAAGTGATCGCTGAGAAGAGTGCTGAATTATGCGTCATCGATATCACCATGTTGTACGAAATGTGTCATACAAAAGTTGCCATTCGAAGGAACTTTTCTCAGATATTATAAGCCCTATAATGTGTGAAAAAAAAGTTATAAATCTAGTTTATATATCCTATAATATAGAGAATGTTGTTCTCATATTTAAAGGTCTTATTTACAAACTAAAGATTTTTATATACTGGCAATTATATTAACATTACTGTTATAAATACCGCGGTTTCGAACCCATAACTTTTGAGCTCGCGGTCGCACCCTAAACCATTTTAGGCGACAGTCGCATAATACTACGTTATTACATACAAAACGTCAGCTAAAAATCACACACAGTTACAAGAAATCAATCGTATCCATTTGGTTATCACAAGAAAGAGATATTTACTTTACAATTATATCGTACAAAAGAAAGATACACCTAGTACAATATTTACACGACAACCGTTAGCTGCGTGCTGCCGCATTGCGCATGCCTGTCACAGATTAAACTACGTAGAGATGGAATAAGAAAACAGAAATCAGTACAAAATGTATATATAATCATTCAAATTTTAAAATTTAGAGTAATAGAATACAATTATTTGAATAGCTTGATTTGAATCGTTTAATTCTTTGGAAATTACATTTGCGTACTACCATACTATTTTAATTTTACTGTAAAATAAACAATAATATAAACAAACAATGCCTTTTTAACAACGTTTTATTAATGGATTACAACGCGAACAGTAGAAATTTATATGGATTGAAAATACCCGGCACGAAGGTATTGCGAGGACTAATTGAACGTCCTTTAAACGCACTTACTATTCAATGTATTTAGAAATTTATCTTGACCACGTAAAAGTAATATCGTTTTTTTAATAAGATTTACCTAACTTTAATGTCCTGATAACGTAGAATAAAATAAGTGATAATATAGGTACCTCAGAACTAAAACATAATGTTGATAATGTGAAATAGAAAATATAAGATGTCTTTTCGGCGCGATGTCATCGCACAGCTAAAGACCTTTAAGTAAGAAAAAAAACTATTTATTTTATAACTACAATCTTTATAATCCAAGTTCTTGACCAAAATGCTATTCTAGTAATACGTAGAAAATAAACACAAAATACGTATTGTACATTTTTTTCGTAAGCGAGAAGAACATGGTGGAGCCACGCTGCAGCTATATTATGATTGAAGCGAATAGGTCCGCTCAATCTCACAGAATACCAGCATAAAATAGCAGCATAATGTTGTTGTGTTTCGTATGGTGAGTGTAGAGAACCGGAGACACTTTTACTGGAAACGAGGCATTCCATTTTAGTCCTCAGGGGTGACAACGCATCTGCGTTTTGAATCTTAATCGAGGAGGAGGAGGAGGTTTAAAAAAATCTTCCTTCAGGGGTGATAACTCATCTTCATTTAGATTCCTCATCGAGGATAGCATCTAGTTACCATCAGATGGATTTTGTGCTGCTTTGTTCTCTTATTCAAAATCATAGAGTTTTATGAGTAAACTAAGAATAGAGAAAATTTCTGAAGTGTATATAATAATAAATATTTATTTCATTTCCAATTACATATGTTTATATACCTACAGGAACAAATATGATTACAATTAAATAAAGTACCAATAAGTCTAACAAAAATAACATGCTATGATAAAATTTAAAGTATGTGTAGCTTAATAATGTAGAATCTAGGTACAAAAGAATAATAGAAAAGTCAAGTTTTATAATATTAGCTACCTGCCTGAACTAGGTTGAACTGTTGAGTACCTGTGTTTCAGACATCACGTATATATGGAGGTGGCATACAATAACAGGCTATGTTAAAGTGGAATTTATGGTCGATAGTGGGTTTTTCGGACCTTTAACTTAGGGAGGAACCTTCAACATTGAAGAGCCATATCTCTAGAATACCGCAACGCGCTTGAAATTACTCTCATAAACTACGGTTGGCAGTTGGCACTAGACGAGCCGCACGCTTCTTGACCCTTCTTCCATAAAAAAGCCATTTGGACCAAATACACAATTATAAGGAATTACAAGGGAATACGTACCAGGATTTTTATCAGTTTTCATTTGATATCAATCAATTACTTTTAAAAGATGATTGCGTTACCTGAAAAAAGAGAGAATAAGTATTAATGTAATAAACTCATGACATTGACTTACATCAGTCATGTCGAACGTACTTGTAATATGTACGGACCGCATGCGGCCCGCGGAATATTATCAAGTTATTGGCCCGTAACCAGCTAACCAGATCTAAAGATTTTAATTACCTACTTATATGACAAAGTTCAGTAAGTACGATGATGCCGTTATGTGGTACAGCCATGCTGCAGCTATATTATAGTTGTAGCACGAATGGGTCGGCTCGACGATAGGATCAAGCTCTCACAGAATACCAGCGTGAAATAGCTGCATAATGCTACTGTGTTTCGAGTGGTGAGTGTAGAGAACCGAAAACTCTTTTTGCTGGAAACGAGACATTACATCTTAATACTTAGGTGTAGCCCTACATTTACATTTTGACTTAATCAAGTATAAATGTGAATGTCTATGGGCCACAGCATCCACTTACCATCAGGAGGACTGTTTGCTCGTTTGTCCTATAAAAAAACAATCCCACATTCACTGACTGGGTCAGACCATAGAAATACTTTGTGCAAGACTTCAAGTACGCAGACGCAGTATGAAGTGCTTGAAATCATAATTTAAAATTGTATATTATTGCAGCTATGTACTCGTAATAATTATAAAATATTGTTTATTCATTTTATTTTATTGTTCGACATTTTCTATATAAGTATAATGTACCTGCAGTTCATGGATCAAAGGCCTAAGCGCTTACCGTAAATCTTACAATACCACGTATACCAATAAAATTAGGAAACCAATGGGAGAAAAGAGCGTTGAAAACCTACTGCGCAGCGTTCGGAGTACGCTGAGTTAAGTGCTGATTTCCCAAAGATC